GGGGGGCGCGGAGAGGCGGCGGGGCTGGGGCGCAGCAGCCCCTCACCTCAATTCCCCTTCTCGCAGCAGCCTTTCCCACCTCGGTATCCCGGAACAGGAAAGTCCCAGTTCAGCTTTCCCCCATAAGATCCTGTCTCCCCCCTCCCGCTCCCCTCCCTCTGCCCCTTCCTGCCTCTGGCCCTTGCGAGGGGAGCCGCTTCTCTCCGTGCGGGACCGGGCTGAGCCGCTCGGGGCAGCCGCCGCGGCGGCGGGGCATGGGGACAGGGCTCTGGGGACCATCCGGCCGGGGGACCATCCCAGCCCTGAGCCAGCAGCCCGGTGCCCGGCGGGCAGAGCTGCCTTCAGCACGCAGGGTTGAGCCGAGATCCTGAAGTTAGTGATTTTTCTTCTCCCCCTCCCTCCTTTTTTTTTTCCCCTATCCCCTCCTTTCCCTCTGTGCTTCCGAAGAGCCCGTAAGGTCTGCAGAGGGAGAGACTGGGGGAGGAGGAAGAATTAAGGGAAGGAAAAGATGGCGAGTTGCAGGAGCAGCGTGGAGAAAGCAGCGGTTTTGTGCTGCTTCTTGCTGGCAATGGGGAGCCTAACCTCCTGCGCCCGGCCGGAGGAGGAGGAAGAGCAAGAAAAGCAGCGCTCCTGTCACGGTGCCTTTGATCTCTACTTCGTCCTGGATAAGTAAGTGACAGTCGCATTTAAAAACGTTTATTCACCCTTCAGTGCCTCCTTGCAGCAGCAGGGACGTTGTTTCCCCTGTCTCCCTGGGTGCCTTCCCCACCTCGCCTGGTGCCAAACACGATGTGTGTGGCAGGATCCTTATTTTTGCTCCCCAAAACTTGCATGTTTCCCAAGTGGAGCATTTAGGGGAGCACTGTGCTTTATCCTGGGTTAGTTGCACATGCAGACCTGGGAAATGAGGTCACCTTCAGGCTGTGGTGTGTGGGCTGTGAGCGTTGGGTTTGAGGGGATGTTAGTCAGTGTCCCCAGCACTCCTGGAGTTTGGTGTCAGGACTCGGGCTAAGCACTGAGATGTCACCTGTGGGATTTAGCAGTGCCACAGCTGTGTAGATCTACCTAAAGTTAAGACTAGACTGCTTGTATGTAGTGGTTGCTTTTTTACAGACTCACTGTAAGGTTTTATAAAACTTGTTTCTGCTCACCTTCTTTGGAATTGTCTAAACCTGTGTTTGAGTTACATCTATTAAAAGAGGTTGGCAAATACTTTTCCTTAATACTATGTTAGCCCAATTTAAGTATGGCCAGAGGACATGGTTAAGCTCACATTCATAGGCATGTTATAGCAAGCATTAGCGAAGTGAGTGGTAAACTGGTGCACCCACAGGTGTTTTTCAGAAGACATAAATTTCTGTTTCTTCTGGTGCACTGCTCCAGTTTGACAGCCAAGGGTTAAACTCAAGGAATAAATTGTTAGTCTCCCACATATACTCAGTGTGATGGTTGTGTTATCTAATACATGCTGGGTTACGTATGTGGTATGGTATTATGGAAGACTGAAGCCTTTTCTTTGTGATTGTTGCCCATAAGCCAGGTATGAAGGCTGCATTGTGCTGTTTCCCAGCTGGGAGAACTGTTCAGTCCATCAGGCCTTCTGCACCGCCCACATGAGGCAAAAAGCCACCATCACTCAGAAGCCAGTATATTCCCATATTCAAGAAGAAGAAAAAAAGTGTCATTAAGTAGTGATTCTGGTTTTAGAGCAAAAGGATCTGAAGACCAAAGGCATTCTGCCTTTCTAAAAGATGTACTAACACTCTGTGTGGTCATTGTTTTGTTTTCTTTCACTAAGTTCCTAAGTAACCTGCATGTCTAGAAAGAGCTCTGTGAGGGGCTGGTGTTAGTTCTCAAATGCATTCTGGCCAGGCTTTCAAGAAGTGGCTGGTACTGTTGTTATGCTTATTTCACGTATTGAATTCCGTGTAACAATAAATGTTGGTGATTGCAGTATGGGTTCTCTCTGTGACATGGTATCTGTCTTCCACAGTGCGATTTTCTTCTCTAAAATGGCATTGTGTACCCCTAGCAATTGCCACACTGCGCTCCTATGCTACTTTTCATCTGTAGCTGAGAAGGCACTTTCCTGGTGTGATTGCTGTTATCGCTTATGTTGTATTTGAGGAAATGAAGGCAGAGAAGAGAGTGATTTGCTCCGAGTTACTGGTATGTCAAGCAATAGAAAGGTGGTTGTGTAACCAAGTTCCTCTTCAGCATTGTGAACATGAAATCATACGTTCCCTTCTAGCAGGCTACAGGTCTTTTATCTTGGCTCAGGTGCTGTCTACTCGGTACATTGGTCCACTGGAGACTGGATCTGATTACGGCTGAAGTAAGCCATGCACTTCAGTTCCAGTGCGAAAATTCTCTTTGGCGTCAGTTGCAAACTGAGTCTTTATAACCTTTGAGAGGCTGAAAGAGCAACTCTTCAGTAAAAAGCTGCAGTAAAAGTTACTTGGGCCTGTGGGTGGTTTTAGGATCCATCCCTGCTCCTACCGAGTCAGTGCCAATGTGGTGGCAGAGCTGCTTTTCGCCTCAATGAGATTGCATTATAATCCATATGGGTAATATCAGAGTGCTATAGGTCCCATGTTGCCTTCCTGCTGTAACCAAATGCATGTCATATTTTGGGGCGAGGGCTAGCTGAGAGGGTATTTAGTCCCAGCTGTATTCTGTAACACCTGGCACAGCACAGGGAGCTTTATGGAGACAGGGAGGACTCACTGAATGGAGAGACTCTGGATCTTGGGCCAGTTCATCAGGAAGGAACTAGATAATCCGTTAGTGTTGAGAAAGGTCAGGGTATTCCTGGTAGGGAGAAGCCACTCAGCCAGTCAGAAGCAGCTGGTCAAATCTGAAAATGCAGTGGACACATTTTCTTAGAAATAGATCTGTGCTGATACATATCTGGGAAGAATTGTGTCTCTAACTTCTAATGGGGAAAATCCCAGCCCTGTACACCACAGAGTATCCCCACATGGCCTGGGGATTGCCTTCCTTCACTGGTGCCTTCCCAGTCTGGACTGAGATGCATTCAGTGTTAATTAGCTGTGTAACAATGAGATTGAAGCATTGGCTCTGCAAAAACTCCAGGATTTAATCCTGTGACCCTGTAGCATGCTCTTTAGCTGAATGACAGGCTCTGAAGTCAGCCAGGGTGAACCAAAATGACTTTAAATCTGCTTTGCTTCCCCATAGAGAGATGTAATCTCACATCAGTAGGAGTCAAATTGGAAGAAGACAGCAAACCTTTCTCCTTCTGTGTGTAAGCACTGTGTGTTACTGCAATGACTTTATTGGGGCATGATTTTTCCTTTTCATTCTGCCAGGCAAAGTCTGTGGGGATTCAATCCTGCAGGCAACAACCATCAGATGGAAAAGATCATCTGCTGGTGAAGTTATTGGTATAATATATATGCTGCCAATTAGAAAAAGAAACTCAGTTTTTCTTTGCCTGTAGTTGATTGCAGCCCTTTATGCTAACTCCATGGGATAGGCAAGATCAGAGCAGTGGAACTGAGCCTCGGATGTCCAAGAAGCTAGCGTGGTGAAAGGGGAAAGCAGCATGTGTGGGAGGGAGACCTGCCACTGTCCTCCTTAGGATAGTCTGACTGTGCCAGAGCCACATTGGGACTGCCTTGTCTCTGAGGATGCTTAAATGAGCAAATCTCTTGAAGCTATAAGAACTGGATGCTTGCTGGCTGCCGAGGCAGCTGCCTAGAGTCTGCAATCTTGTGCTGTCTGTATGTCATACTTTACAAGTTATGCATGCTTGAGCTTATCTGGAGGTGTAATGAAAGACTTTATCATACGGAAGCAGCAGAAGTTTTTGTGTTTGCAGCTAAGTGACTCCCTCTGCATGAGGTAAGGCAGCTGTGTGCAGTTGGCATACCCATCTCTCCTATGGCATGTGGTAAGGTCAAGTCACATGTGATATTGAAGATCTCATGTTTACCTTTAAACAAGCATAGCTCTTAAGCCCAACATAATAGGTAGCTGAGTACTTCTCACTTGCTTTGGTTGCTTCATTTGCTTTGGTTGTCCAGGTGCATGAAGAACTTGTTTCAGTCCCATCCCAAACTGCTGAGGACATGTCCTCTTAGGGATTTGATTGCTTGACTATTCAGGCCTTGTAGTGACATCCTCATGCTTGAGTATGTAAATAACTCTTTCATCCCTGCCTTGCTGTTAACATCCAGCTGTTCTTTGTGATCATATTAAAATGCACAGCAGAAAGGATGCCTGACCTCTAGTGTTTTCTAATTATAGCAGTGCCTGGTAGCATCATTATGATTGTTTATTAGTGCAACAAATAGAAACCCTTTTAAACTAAGGACTTATAACTTCTATAAATATTTGCTCCCGGTGATGCTTGACATGGCAGATCTGAGCTGCAGAGCTGTCTGTATTTTGTATTTACCAAGTATGAAGACCTTTTTTTTTTTTTTTTATTATTTTTGACTGTAGGACAGGATGGGAAATGGGGAGGAAAAAGAATGTGAGATAGTTGAAAGTATTTTCTCATTTTTCCTGCTGGGATGTTTGCTAAGAAATTGTTTGGATTTTGAGGAAAAATGAGCTGCACAGCCTTGGGAAAATGTTTTCTTTTTCCACAGCACAGACCATGGCAGTGCAAATGTCTTGAGTAAGGCCCTGGCCGATTTGCTTTTAGAGCAGTGATTCTAGCGCTTTTGGGAGGGGCTCGCCTAACTACCCTTCACTCCTCATCTTCCCCCTGAACTTCTGGGTAGTCCCTCTTGATGGTACTTCTGTCTCTTGGGCCCACAACAATATTGCCTTTCACATCAGTTTTGCTTTGTCTCCCGTGCTCCCGAGAACATCCCTGTCAACAGCAACTTTGGTAAAGACATCAGTACAATGTGGCCAGTCAAGCCTTCTTGCTCATTCCAGAGGTGAATGTCACTGGTAGGGAGCTGGTGGGGAAGAGCACAACCTCTGATCAGATGGGAAATTAGCTACCCTGTCCCATCTCTGTCATGGTTTTGGCTTTTGGGTCTGTGCCTGCCCCCACCTCCCCTTGAAAAGCCAGCTTTGTGCGGGAGGGAGGTGTCGGATGGGAAACAGGTTGATACTTCCTACCTCACTTCAGGCAAGCCAAAAGGCCATCACAGAACAAAAAGCGTTTCAGTAGCTGCTCTTCTGTGCCAGCTTTTATCGTTTTAAGACAACAATAATGAATTGCTGATCTCCATATACCTTGTTTTTTCACAACATGCCATATTTTAAGCAAACAAAGAAGAGAGTTTGGTAAACACATTTTGTGTCCCTCTTCCCCCTCCCACATGATTTCCTTGCCAATGATATGAATTAATTTAGCACTCATGAATTATAAGTACTGGTAAGAGCAAGTATTTTTGGCCCTAGGCTCTCACTGTAGCCTTTTGCCTTTCTTTCCATGTCCACATAGTCCCAGTCCAAGAGTGTTAGGATGGAGTTGGACCTGTGGGAACTTCTGCAGCTTCTCTCTGCACTGTCTTGGTCCGATGCTGTTCTGTGTGCTAGTTTCACACAGTGTGTGAGAAGAGTGTGGCTAGCAACGTTGTTGTGGTTGCAAATTGGACTACTGGCAGAGTGCCTGAACACGTGTTCTGACACCTAATTTAATTGCATTTGAAAAATCTCATATTGACTGACTTAAAACACTA